TGGCAATAAATTTTAACGCTTAAGGAAAATCGTTTCAAACTTTTATATAAATTGAATTCCTATTAAGAAAACAACAAAAGATGTTAACATTGTATCCATCGCTTGTATTGATTGGTTTTGTTGCCATTAATAGTGTTATTCTTCAGCCAACCCCACAGTCGAGCGCTTCTGCACCTGCTGTCACTACCCCTTCATCGGGTGTCAGTCCATCAGCACAACCGGCCGTCACTACCGCTCCAGTGGTGACCACTCCCTCTACAGGAGGCTCTGGTCTCCTTCCCCCTCAGTCACCGATGGGTGTCATCACAACACCGGCAAAACCAGGTCTCCAGCCCTCAAACGGACCTTTGAATTCAAGCACCGCATCGGTTAATAATGGCTATGACTTGTGCGCTCTGGCGTCCAAAGGATTACTCTATAACGCAAAGCGGGCTTTCATTATAGGAGAGACACTGTATTTCGGAAACGGAACCCATTTTTATAGGGCTATTATGACTGGCAATCAATGGGTGTATTTTGACGCCGAAGATATTCATAACATATTCGCTGATTGTATGCAATGATTGATTCAAATAATAAGTCATTGGTTTTAAATAACAAAACTTTGAACACCTGTTTAATAGCCAATCACTTCACGGAGATTATAAGTGCCGTGTTTTTCGGTTCACAACAACAGTGCACTCAAACTCAGGCCAACTGTGCGATTATGACCAACGCTTTCGACAAGACTTTGGTAATCGGCAGCACTGGTCCTAACGTTTTTGCCTACAAAGCCTACTACACAAAAGACATCGGCGTTGGCGGACATGAATTACTGCCCATACATCCGGTGACTGACGCAAAACACATGCCGTGGGGTTTGCCGGCGAGTGATCCGCTGACCGACCCATTCTGGCCACAGGATAAAGGCCTCATTGTTAAGTGTTTAGTTTATGACACCATCAAACAGAGCCTTTATATCAGTGTATTTCATGAACTCAGGTTTTACACTAAATATTGCTTTAAAATAAAAATTACAATTCATATTATTTGTAACAGTGGTCAACAACATGGTAATAATACAACTGAGATAAAAGTGTATATCCGACAAATCGATGGCCAGTTAGCGGGCAATTACAGACAAATGGAGGCCACGTCTAACTTCACGGCAATGGTGTACAGAAACGGCCAAACATTTGGTATTCGTGAAAACATTCAGGGTAGTTGGTATTATCTGGACTTTACCGATCCCACCAAGTCCAATTTGGTGATACATAGTCAAGAGGTTGCCGTTATATGCCATTAATGTGTTTAGCCTTTGAAACGCTTATTATTTATCATTTTTTTAGAGACAAGTAAAAGAGTTTCTCAATTGTCAAAAAACATCACCCCTTTTGGATCAAGTGTCTCCTTCTTCTGCGCCCAACACAAGTGTCAGTAGTGGTGATCAGAGCAGCGCATTGTCTCCTATAGGGGATCAAACTACGAGCGGTGACATCGGAATTGGATCCACTCATAAAAACGGCACCACTTCGGCCGCACCTGAAAAGTCCAGTAAAACCATGGTTTGGATTATTTTAATTGTCGTGATTGTAATCGTAGTAATCGTTGCAATCATTTGTTGTACAGTTTTCTGTGAGTTTTGTGCAAAAAAATGTAATCTTTT